CAAATCTGTGCTGTGACAGATCGTGCCATCCTCTAAACAGCCGGCGAAATTCTGAATTCCATTGCCGGAACCGGAACCCAATCTTAAGAGTATACCAACTCGAGAAGGATCCAACCCATCGATCTTCCGCACCGGGTACTTGGACAAGCTAAAATCGAATAATAAAAACGACGTATAAGACTTAACAACAAATGTTAAGTATGTCAATCCCCTTACTGTACAGCTAGTCTTAGATGCTAAAGAATAGTAACCACAAACTGGCTAATAAAAGAAGAAAACCAAAAATATCTTCAAATAATTGTAGTTTCAATAAAGTTGTCCAGCTATTTATTTATTTATATAGCTGTACTTAATAAATATTTGTATTTACTAGATAGATCTATATTCAATATATTTATATTTGAATTTGAACCAGCGACCTACCGTTTGTCGGTTTTTGGCAGTTTTTTGCTACGTTCTTGATACGTTTCCGATTTCTGGCCAAAGTTTTAACCCACTTAAAATCTAGCTAAAATGCAAATGCCTTTAGTTAAGTTGGCCTATACCTACTGCCAAATAAAGAATTCGATATGACAACAGTTAGTAAGTGTGTAGACAGTTCGGTGTTGTGGTAACCTGCGACTTTTCTATTCATTTCATGCGACTAAACGCTGTGCGTTGTATAATTTGAAGCGCTGCGAATAAGTTGAGCCATCATCAGCTGCAGTATGCGCTGGCCGCGCCCACATGCCGCCAGGCCCTGAGGCCTCGGCACGTGTAATATTCTACATTTATAATTTCTGTCGTGCAGCTGCGTGGGGAGTGCTGGCAACCGAGGGGGGGGGGGGGGGGGGCGGGCAAAAATGTTAATCATGATGAACCAGTTAGACACAGAAAGGAAAAAAAAAAACGAAAATTGAAGGAATGAGCTGGGGAAAGTGGAGACCAGTCCGATTACCAACCGACCGACCGACTTACTGACTGACTGAGGGACTGAGGGACTGGCTGACAGTGGCAGCAGGGACCTGTGTGGGCACACACATGCATGTGCCACGTGAGCGTGTGCTGATGGCGTGCCTGGGATTGGGGCTGGATGGGGCTTGGGGGTTGGAGGGCTGGCACGTGTTCGTGTCTCGTTTCTCATGTAAAATGCATGAAAAACAAACACGCGCGTCTTTTTTGCTTACGCATAAAAGTTTTCTTCTCTTTTTATTTTTATATATATATATATATATTTTTTTTTTATCCAACTTAGCTACACGCCCCAGCCGTCCCCGTCTTTTCTCTGTCGGTTCACTTGGGCTGCTGCCAGCGGGTGTGCGTTGGTGCCCCACCCCTTGTGGTTGACGGTGGGTTGTTGCACTGCGGAAATTTGCATAGAGATACAAATAAAATAAACGCGATGCTTTTGTGTTGAGCAGCCCCTGTGCGCAGCCCCCCTCCCACCACCCTTCCATCGTTCTCTCTTCCTTTGCGTGTGTCTCTGTCACGTGTGCGTCTAAATGTTGCGGCCCCAAAGTCGGACATTTGTTGTTGCAACAAAGAAAATTGTGAATAGATCATAGTACAGTCCACAAATCACGCTGCCCAAAGCTGATTGATACACCTGGTTGATTGATAAGTGTGATAAGAGACAAAGAAAGAGGTTAGGAGAGTGTGAAAAACGGTGTTGCCCTTTATTCGTTTAACACTAGAAGCTGACATCCAACTGGAAGTGCATGAAGAGAATGAAGTTGAACTAGACCAAATTAGGCTCCTTCACCGTATTCTAGTCAGTTGCAACAAATGTGCCAAATGCGGTGTTTCTGGCTAACAAATTCTGCGAAATAGGCTCAGAAAACTCGGCAGTGGACATCGATATTTAGCGATGTTACGAAAATGGGCCAGCTATTAGAAAAAGCGAAAGATGAATTATTTCGCTTCTGATAAAGAAAAGCCCGTAAAAAGTGAATGTTGATCGAAATTGAACGATTTGCAGAACACGGCGTTTGCTTAACAGGAAACTGCAAACATCTAGCTAGGGCGGGCTCTTGACGTTGATCAAGATCAAAAATGTTACAATCGTTAGCGCAACTGTTATGTATACCCTGTTTTGAAATGCATCTCTGATCAGTACAGGGTATTAAAGTATAGCATATCATGTACCGCGCTGCACAGATTAAATCAGGTTTTAAGCTTTTTGTGACTTTATGCACATAACTTACACGCACACCGACTGGCTAACACACACACACACACACACACACACACGCACACATACACAGAGAGTAAGACAAAAGCGGAGACAAAGTGGAGCAGCTGTTGCATAATTTATGCGTGGAGCAAACCCACTTGCCAGTCAGTCGATAGTCCTCCAGCTGGTGGCTGGCAGATTTGGCACCGAATTATGCAGCGCCCAAAAGTATGCAGCAGCAGCTGCTGCTGCTTTTGTTGTGTTGCCATGGCAGACTGTCAGGAGTCAGGAGGACTCCTTCAGTCGAATCTCATATGCTGGTGTAGTAAAACCTTTGTGCTCTGCATAATTTAGTGTTTAGCCTTATTCCAAATGTGCGCAGCATCGGTAGCAACAACATCTGCTACCAGATTGAGTGGCAGACACAGCGTGTGGGTAATGTAGTTAAAGTGCTGACTGCCTGACAACCGGAAATGATGACAAAAGCAACTAAAACGCGAAATGCAGATGGGAGTTGACGGATGACAGATGTCTGTTGACTTGGCCAGCTGGTGAAACATGCAAATTAACGTAAAGAGGTGACAAACCGGTTCAAAGTTGAACCACTTCCAAGCTTCAACATCTAAATTCAGCCGAGTTGGGTGACAGCCGGAAGCTGTTGTGAAAACAAAGCTGAGTGAAATGAAGATGAGCTACGAGAAAGTTTGGAAAGTTATAGCAGCCATTTAGTGTGTGTTTAGAGAAGCGTAACTGCGGACCTCAAACAAAATATTTTCCCGTATATGATTATGATATACTTGTGAGTATTTCCAGGCTTTGCCCAGTTTAAATCCATCGAATAAAGAACCAACAGTTCAACAGAATCAAGGCTTAGATCCACAAACAAAGATTTTCGCACATAAAAACTTTCATTCGGTATTTTCCATTCAAGAGGCGTGAATTTTGTGAAACGTGTGAAACATGTCTCAAATGAATTTTTCCGCAGATCTTCGAAATTGAGTAGCGTACCGATTCGAATCAAAAACAAAACAAACATATTAGCATACATACAGATGCATACATGCATGTAAGTATGCATGCATTTTTGCATATATAAATATATGCATGCATGCATGTTCTGCTTTTGGTATTCGAAAACAAACATGCATGCATATATAGTTTGGCTCAACTAATAATTTGAGGGCAGCAACATTAAGGCGACATCCGAGTCGGCAGCTTATGTATTATATATTATATATTAATATATTATATAAATCTCGACTTATCATTCATCTGGCATCTATATGCTACAAAGGTCGACTCTGACAAGCCTGTATACTGTCGGAGATGTCGCCTTATACACAGATAGTTTCTAGGTAGAGGTATGTGTGCAACGCAACCCGGAATCTGTTAAGTTAGCAGCCAAACTAGGCAATGACTTGTTAAAGGACTTGTAATAAAGTAGATCAAATTAACAAACGTATTTGGAATTCCAGTCTCATTTTATTATTGCCTTTATGCTCAAAGCTGAAATTCAAATGTAATTAAAGCAAAGCCCTCATAAGTCAAATCAAATGTCGAAACTAAATGCGCATTAATCAAATACCAAAGTAACGCCTTTCTTCCTCTTTCGCTCCCTCTCGCTCTCTCATTCGGTCTGGCTGTACCTTTGCCCTTTTGCACATACCCACAATGATTAATTGTAGAATCGCAGCTGCTGCTGCAATTGCAATCGCAGCATTTCGTGGAACTTGACAGCAGCTGCCAGCTAGAAATACAACTATAAATAGGAAAATCCTGCTGCTGCTCCCTGGTTGACCATTGGGCGGCTTTTGGGGTGTGTGTGGGTGGGCGGTTTTATGCTGCAGTTGAAATGTGGCCAAGTTCGAGCTGCACTTCAGACCAAGCGTTTGGGTCGCCCACTTTGTGCTTTTTATATATTTAATTCATATTTTTTTCGGTCTATTTTGTGTATGCAAATTTAATTTAATTTTTTTTCTCTTGAGTGTGTGTGTGTGTGTGAGTGTGTGTGTGTGTGTGTGTGTGTGTGTGTGAGTGGGCGTGACCTACTTGCATGCCCAGCGCAGGGACACGTTCCCGTTTCCCTTAGCTCCGCAACATGTGCACAAAAAATTAATTTCAAAGTAAATGACAGCGAATGGAGAGACAGCCAGGGCCACAACGCGGAACGCCCCCTCAAAGTGTGTGCGTGTGCGTGGGTGTGTGTGTGCAGGCACTGTCACGCCCACTTGTTGGGCTTCACTGGTTGCTTATGCAATTGAGTTGCTTTCTAGTGTCTGAAATATTCCTGAAGCGTTGACATGTGAACGCTCAAAATAGTTGAAGCTGAACGCCTGACAAAGGCACACACACTCGCATACACACACACACACACGCGCGTAAACAACACACATCGCTGAGCTCGCATTGCGCTTTTGTTTTTGTGTTTCGAAGGTCACCGCCTGCTCCCGCCCCCGCCCCCGCCCTCGCCCTCGCCCATTCACATTCATACATAATAATCCCTACGCTTTTCGCCTGTGCGCCACAAAGTATGCCACATTTGATTTTCCCATTTTTTTTATTTTACATTTGTGTGCCTGGCAACCCACTAACAACAATAACAACAACAAACTCTGCAACAGCAGCAAAAGTTTTCCACCCAAACAAAGCGTCGATAAATTAGTTTTTTCCCCAATGTTATTCTAGGCATTTGTTGCGCCCCCTAAAAGGCCCGGCCCGCTCCTCTTGTTAAAACTATGCTAGAGTTTAGTGTATTTTATCGTCTGTATATGTATATATATAATATATAAGTATATATATTTGCGACATTTGACTAACATTTCGGTTTTCTGGGGGCAAACTCTTTCAGTGCGAAGCTGCCGCACCGGCAAGCAGGTGCAGATGACGGAGGCGGAGGTGCGCGGCTTGTGCTTGAAGTCGCGCGAGATATTCTTGCAGCAGCCGATATTGTTGGAACTGGAGGCGCCATTAATCATCTGTGGCGATATACACGGCCAGTACACAGATCTGTTGCGTCTATTCGAATACGGCGGATTTCCACCGACTGCCAACTATCTGTTTCTCGGCGACTATGTGGATCGGGGCAAGCAATCTCTGGAGACGATTTGTTTGCTGTTGGCCTACAAGATCAAATATCCGGAGAATTTCTTCTTGTTGCGCGGCAATCATGAGTGCGCCAGTATTAATAGAATTTATGGTAAGTGAAGGGTGGATCCTATGTGGTTCGTATATGGATCCCATATGCAAAGTGGAATCACAGCTTAGTTCTTACAATTGCTTTTGCATCGAAAGAGGAGCATATTTGTTTTGCTGTGCATCATATGTTGACCGTATGAATCGCATGTGAAATGTTGACATTAGTCAACTTCCGAAGTAATGGCATATTCATCGTAGACGTGCCTAATGGCAGCTCAGACAATTCTTGATAAGCTTATTGACTACCATACGGACTGATTGTGGATAGCATTTGATATACATTTATTATAGCAGTTTTCGCTTACCTCCATTTCAGGCTTTTACGACGAGTGCAAGCGTCGCTACAATGTTAAACTATGGAAGACCTTCACAGATTGTTTCAACTGTCTGCCTGTGGCCGCGATTATTGATGAGAAGATCTTCTGTTGCCATGGTGGCCTCAGTCCCGATCTGCAGGGCATGGAGCAGATCCGTCGCCTGATGCGTCCCACAGATGTGCCCGACACCGGGCTGCTCTGCGACCTGCTGTGGAGTGATCCCGACAAGGATGTACAGGGCTGGGGCGAAAACGATCGTGGCGTTAGCTTCACTTTTGGCGTTGATGTCGTCTCCAAGTTCTTGAATCGACACGAGCTGGACTTGATTTGTCGTGCCCATCAGGTTAGCAAATCCAAGCCAATCTATTGACTCTCTGTTAACTCTCGAATCCATTTACAGGTCGTTGAGGATGGCTACGAGTTCTTTGCGCGCCGTCAGCTGGTCACATTGTTCTCGGCGCCAAACTATTGCGGCGAATTCGACAACGCTGGCGGCATGATGACCGTGGACGACACGCTCATGTGCTCATTCCAGGTAGGGCACACACATACACATAATCCAACCTTTTTATCATATATTTTTAAATCATTTCAGATATTGAAGCCATCCGAAAAGAAGGCCAAGTATTTGTACAGCGGCATTAACTCATCTCGGCCAACAACACCGCAGCGCAGCGCTCCAATGTTGGCGACCAACAAGAAGAAATAATATATCCATCCGCTTCCATTTCCTTAAAGGTTTAACCTCAACCCCAACAGCAACAACATCAGCAAACAACAGCAACAAAAACAACAACAACAACAGCAAACAACAAATACACGAATAACTTTTATATATATTATACATACGTACATAAATATGTCAAAATTAAATGTGTGCAAGTAATTAACTAGTTGAAAGAGTAAACAAAAAAAACAAACTTCAAATGAAAAATACAAAAAAAAAAAACAAAAACAAAAAAAGAAAATACAGCCCCACAAAATAAGCAAAGAAAATCGTTTGATACGAAAGATGGCTAAAACGTGTTGACAGATTAATAAAATAAATAAACAGATCATCTTATATACATGATATATATATATATATATATATATATATAAAATATAATATATGTATATAAATATATTGTATATGTAACTGCATGTTATTATTAACTGTATACAAAACTTCTATATTATTTATTTACTGTACATGTACATACATGTTGCTAAATGCATATTGACTACACTACACTACGACTACACTACACTATACTACACTAAACTAACTACAACAATAACGACATCAATTTAAGTTCTTGCATTTGTTTTTAAAGATTACCTTGGCCCGACAAAAAAGTGTTTGCCTAATTGTTTATAAAGATCGCAACGAGCTAACCTCCCGCAAATTCCTAGCCCCCAAAAGATAAATAATAACCGTAAACTAAACACGCGATATATATACAAAAATGAGTACAGCGATTAAAGCAATGAATTTATATAGACATATTATTGTAAACTCTATATACGATATTTACTTATATGTACTACAACAACAACAACCAAAATACATACAAATTGCAAATCTATAACTAGGCCACAATGTGCAGTGTTTCCAAACAAAAACAAAATAAAACAAACAACAAAAAAACAATAAAATTAAAAAACAACAAAAAAATCCCCCTTAGAGCAGCAAATAAATGTAGTTCTAATATTTAGTTTCAATATGTATGCGCCGTCAAATGCTTAAAATTGTTTATAAACTAAGTGCGCATTGTAATTTGTCTAACAAGTAAAAACAAAAACAAAAAACAAAAACTATGAAAAATTTACCACTTAAGCGTAAGGCAATTATACTATGTGTATTTTTTTTTATTTATTATTATTTACCTGCTTTAAACTGTATTTTATTAAATTTCTTTTTTTTTCTCACTAATTTATTGCAATTTTTTTATTGTATTTAAAAACTAAAGTTAATATATAGAGGCGAAAAAACAAAAAAAAAAAAAGAGAAAGCGGTAAATAATTTTTTTTTAGCAAGTGACAAGTTATAAATAAATACATATAGATATATACTAAAAATAGGTTTAAACAACTGTTATCTGCGAAAACAAAAAAAAAAAAAGGTAAAGAAAACAACCATATTAAATAAATCTAAATACAAATACAATTTAAAATTGATATTGAGTATGTAAATGGGCGCTTTGGTCTGTGCATTTACTGAGGCTTGTTTTCTGTTAAAAAACAAAAGAAAAAAAACAAAAAGAAGATATATATATAATAAATTATGAACTTTTATCATCAATCATCAAAAAGCAAAAACAAAAAGATGCAAATTTTTAACGAGTTTTTAAGCATAACTTCGAACTTTTGAAACAAGAAATTTTGTGCAGGTTTCTTTTTGTTGTTCACTTTTTAATTCGAAATTCGTAACACGTTGTTAACTGATATACATAAATATATATATATATATATATATATATATATATATATATTATATATTTAATTATTTGATAGCAAATGCTAATATGTATTTTCTTTATTTCGTCATCGTCGAAATTATTAGATTGTAGTGCCTTTTTTGCCTCCCAAAACATGAAATTTGAAATGATCAAGCTATAAAGTTTATATATATACATTCATTCATATTATATACATACACACGCCTAAATATATATATATATATATATATATGTATTGAAATACATTTTATATGTGACTAGAGATGGAAAAACAAACAGAAACTGTTATCAGCAGCTGGCGCAGCTTGCATGTCATGCAGCTTGACGACATGAGCTGCATGGCATGGCATACAAGTCAATTAATTGCATCGCAGATTGTGTTTCATACAAAGGCATTATTGCAATATGCAACGTACAACATGCAGCATTCAAATTAATTCTGCAATGTTTTTAACTCGCCCCTCAATTTAGTTAAATTTTTTGTATAATTATTGCTTAACAGTTTTTTGTAGCTAATGAAATGATTTTAAAACTGAGCTTCAAATTGTTAAGCTTCGTGTGCTTGTGTTTGTGAATGTATATGTATATGTGTATGCATATGCATATGTGTATGTATATGTATATGCATATGTATATGTATATGTAGTGTATATGTGTATGCATATGTATATGTATATGTACATGTAAATGTATATGTGTATGTGTATGTATATGTATATGTATACGCATGTGTGTGTGCGTGTGAGCCAAAGTGCTAGCCACAACCAAGTAAGAGTGCGAGTTAAGTGCACATTCAAAGCATATAAATACACATGGCCAAATGTAACAGCCCTTTCCATACATACACAAATACACACATAAACACATACACAGCCTCACACACAAAATGAAATATGAGATTAAAAAAATAAAAACAAAAAACTACCGTGGTTGAAAAACGCACCACAAATGCATCCAATACGAATGAAGAATACAAAACAAAAACAAAAAAAGGAAAGCAAGTAAATTAATATATTTATTATTGAAAATCAAATAAAATTATTAAAAATGTATGTAAACAAATTTCAACGTGTTTTTAATTATATGCAAAAAAAAAAATAAGTAAAAGGCTCTAGCCGAGAACTCCCTTTTCTTAGTCCAACATCAAATGCATATATATATTCTATTTTAGAAGCTATATGTCAAGTTTGCTGACTCTAGCTCTTATTATTTACCAAAATTGCCCAAGAAACAGGATATCGATATCGATTTTTATCGATTGCTTGGAAACGGAGTAAGTTATCGATTATCGGAAACAAACTAGATCTGCGCGGGAGCTAGGAGCACCTATATCTATTTCAAGTCTCTAGCTCTTATAGGTTCTGAGATCCTTGCGTTCATACATACGGACGGACAGACGAACGGACAGACAGACGGACATGGCTAGATCGACTCGGCTATTGATGCTGAACAAGAATATATATACATTATAGGGTCGGAGAAGCTTCCTTCTGCCTGTTACATACATTTAGATTTTGCACAAATACAATATACCCTTATACCCATTTTTGATGGGTTCAGGGTTGAAAAAAAGCATGATGTAACCCCTTGGCATTTTTTCGATTTGGGTCAAAATTTTGGATTTCCTTTTTTTGATGCCAATCGTGATGATTTGGAAGGTCATATCTCCGCGCGGAGTTGTGTCGTTTTGGAACGTCATATTTCCGCGCGGAGTTATGTCGTATTGGAACGTCATATCTCCGCGCGGAGTTATGTCGTTTTGGACCGTCATATCTTCGCTTGGAGTTATGTCGTTTTGGAACGTCATATCTCCGCGCGGAGCTACGTCGTTTTGGAACGTCATATCTCCGCGCGGAGCTACGTCGTTTTGGAACGTCATATATCCGCGCAGAGTTATGTCGTTTTGGACCGTCATATCTCCTCGCGGAGTTATGTCGTTTTGGAACGTCATATCTTCGCTTGGAGTTATGTCGTTTTGGAACGTCATATCTTCGCTCGGAGTTATGTCGTTTTAGAACGACATATCTTCGCTCGGAGTTATGTCGTTTTAGAACGACATATCTCCGCACGGAGTTATGTCGTTTTGGAACGTCATATCTCCGCGCGGAGTTATGTCGTTTTGGAACGTCATATCTCCGCGCGGAGCTATGTCGTTTTGGAACGTCATATATCCGCGCGGAGTTATGTCGTTTTGGAACGTCATATCTCCGCGCGGAGTTATGTCGTTCCAAAACGACGCGAGGTCAACAACTCATTTCAACCCATCAATTTTTAATTTGTTTGAATGCCGTATGATAGTAGGGATTCGTACGAATTCAAAAAGGTATAACATTTCAATAACAGGATATATTTACCCGAGAGTTAAAAAAAAAAATCGTCAAAAAAGTTTGTTTTTTTTTTAACTTATATATGTTTATTGTATTGAATTAAAAAATAGCATACATTTTTATTACAAAACCGTTAGCTTAGGTGGTATCTCGCCAATCCTGGTTGGCTCCTCAGGCTTTATCGGGGACAAACGTCAAAGCCGTCACGTAGGTAGTCGGTGGGCTCTGGGGCTTCTCCTGTGTCGTTGTTGGAGGAGGTCTCTAAAGGATCTTTTCTTGAGCCTTCTGACTACACACCTCTCAGCGATGTCTCTTGTATGGGTTGGCGAATGCTTCGACTCTGAGATTACTTGGCCGAGATAGTCTAAAAAAATCAACAAAACAGGTTGATTATACCAACGAAACGTTTATCTAAATCAATATACTAACTTTGCATACCCAAGCCATTTGCATGAACATAATATTAAACAAGTAAGAGGTTCTAGTCGGGAGTTCCGTTCTCTTCTTCCAACATCAAATGCATATATATATTCTATTTTAGAAGCTATATGTCAAGTTTGGTGACTCTAGCTCTTATTATTTACCAAAATTGCCCAAAAACAGGATATCGATATCGATTTTTATCGATTGCTTGGAAACGGAGTAAGTTATCGATTATCGGAAACAAACTCGATAAATTAAAGCATATTTTGTATGATGAAAGGTATAAAAGGTATAACATACCAAAATCATCATCATAATCATCAAAAAAGTTTTAATTTTCGAACCGACCCCGATTCTGAGGAAAAACGTGATTTAACCCTTTGCTTTTTTGTCAATTTGGGTCAAAATCTAGATTTTAGCTTTTTTAATGCCAATCGAGAGTACTAAATAATTATTATTGAAAACCTGGCATTATTTGTCCGAAATATTCCAAAAAATCATCAAAAACGGTGGACTTTTCAGTGCCAATGTTAAGCTTTAAAGTAAGCTCCTCCTAACCACAATGCAGTCGAGACAATAGCTTTATGAAGCTTTTACTCACCTGTAAACTTGACCGTAAAGCTTGGAATGCTTTTGAGTCCTGCTAACCAACTAAAATACATCGAAAGCTTCAAAGCTGCACACATTCCGAATGTTTATTTTTTCGGAGTAAGCAGGTTTCAAAGCTACAAAACGACTGTTAACTAACAGCGATGCTAACTGTTAACTGACAGTAGCCAACGGAATGTTGGCGGAATAGCCCTGAGCCATGCCGTAACAGCCTGTGCTAGCAGGTGGTCCCCACTAAGCTAGTTTCGCTAATGATGCAAAGCTTAGGGCTGATATAAAATTTGGGGGAACTCCTGCTGCGCTTTTGCATGATGTCCCCGCCGCCAGGACACCCAATCTCCACCCAGCTATTGTTGTAGCTGCCATTTCGTGAAATGAAAACAGGCGGAATTGTGTTTATTTTATGTTTAACATTTATTTCATAATGTTTCGAATGGTCTTGATGAAGCGCTGCATGAACCATAAGCCTAACCACTCAGTAATCATTCCGTTGCGTATCGAAAAAAGATGTCTTGAAAGAAAACAATTGAAACGGAATGAAAAAAAATTGAAAGCAACTCTAGCTAGCGTTTGCTTAAAAGTTCAACTCCCCCAAAAAAATGAATCAATGATGTTTAGATGGAGACTTATACTAAGAACATTTAATTAATACACATAAATATATAAATATATGTATGTATTTAGATAGCTGTCGAACGACATGTATGCATGCATTAATGCGTGTATATCCTGTAAATCGGACGACAGGTTCACAAATATAGTTGAATTGTTTAAGCTACCGTTTTAGTTTCTCTTTTATGTACTCATAGAAATGCATCACATTGAAATTGTAATTCTTCGAAATACTTTCTGGCCTCTGTTATTAGTTTAGTTAAAGTGGATCAGCGTAAACATTGATAGACATATATAAATATATATATATATATATATTGTTTGACATACATATTCATAAACATATATTGTATATTGTGTATATATCGTTAAACTTTCTCTCAAGTGTCTGATGCTTTCAAGGTTTGCATAGAATACGTTATATAGTTTTATATATTTCTTGTTTTGTTTCTTTCTTTACTTGGCTAAATGTCCTTTTGACAATAAATTCATTATTTAACACTAGACATGTACACATTCAAATGGTATTCATATGCAATTACGCTTACAGCTAACATTTAAAATCGTATTTTTTTTTTTTGGTTATCAATAGAAAAAATTTAATATGAGTTTGCGTGTCTTTGCACTCACAAAAAAAAAAAAAAAAAAACAAAAAAAGAATGTTACCCAAACTTTGGAAAACCTCCAAAAATATGACAAATGTTTGACAAATTTCTGAAAGGTGAAAAAGGTTCTTCTATTTAGAATAAATGAACCTAAACTAAACACTTTTTTTTTTGCATTAAATTCTCAAAAATTTCGCTAATTTTTCAAAAATTTCGCAAATTTTAAATTTTTTTTCCAAAGTTTAGGAAAATGTTGTTTATAATATCTTTTTTTTTTTTGGTTTTCAAGTGTGGCACTCGCGCCTGGCACAGGCAATTTTTCATTGTTCATTTCAGAGATGTGTAAGTAGTTGTAGACATTTAGCAAGTAAATATGTGTAAGTTCCGACACAAGCAAGTAAATACCCTTGCCATAAGCTAAAATATCCGCGATTTCGTCGTCATTCGTTGGCATTTATCCATATATCGAGTATCGGGCGGAGTTGTGCTTAAATATTATTTGACAAAAAAAAAAAAAAAAACGCACACATATAGAGTATTTGATTTGAACATGTAAGTTCACAATACGCACACCCCGCCACTTGTGATTATTATATATATAGTTATAAATAAATATATATATATATATATATATACATATATACATATACATATATATATATATATATATAAATGTTTAGATGTTTAAAGTTTTGCTAGCAACACCATATGGGTATTCCCTCTAGCATTTAGAATTAACTTGATTGTTGGTTAGCAACACATATCCAGCTTAGTGTCTGGAGTTATTTAACTGCATTTTGTGGCGTTAGCTTATTTTAATTTTCTTTTTTTTTTTTTGTTTTGTTTTGCCAAATTTTCATGTTTGAAACTTGGTGACAAGCAGTTCAAGTATTCGCGCAATCCGTAACATCCGTTAGGGTGTACGTACTTCGGCGCAAAACTGAACCTTATTGTGTTGCTCAACTGCTTTTTGGTTTATATGTATATTTTGTTCTATATGCAAGTAGTTTGCATTTATTTCTAAATAGTTTTTTTTCATCTTCTTCTACTTATCTTCTTTTGTTTATCAACGCGGCAAGCATTAAGGAAAAAATTTTTAAGTGTATATATATATATATGCATATATATATGCATATATGCATATATATAATAATAGTGTGTGTATATATATGACAGGAAAACTCACAGATATGTATGCATCAGAGGCATTTTTTTTTAAATACATTTCAGGTGAAACCGCAACATTTATCTTTTTTTTTTTAAATTTTTTTTGTATATTTTATGTATTTTTGTTGTTTCTTTTGTTCTGCTGTATTGTATTTTGTTTAGTTTGAGTATTATGTTGTACTGGATATAAGTATATAATATATAATATTTCTATATATATGTATATATATATATGTGGTAAAAGGTTATACAATATGATATTGTGTGTTGAATTCGACGTGTATGTGTGTGCGTACATCCAATTGGCATAATATTAATTATATTAATATTAATAATATTAATTTCAATTACATGACAACATACAAACATTTAGAATTTGAATAATATATCGTATGCACATCAATTTCATTGAATCGTAATTGCGTATATATGTAGTCGACATTCATATCATATCATATATGTGTAGTGTTTATATATATATATATATATATATATATATATATATATATATATATATATATATATATATATTAATATGGATTTAAAAATACTTTCTTTAAAGTTGCATTTACGCTGAAATTCCATTTCAATTAATTTGCATTTTCATTTTAATTTCGTTCCATTCCATTTGCATTTGTCTATGCCGTTTTTGCTGAATATCATAATTTTTCATATTTTTTTGTAAATTTTTGTTTTGTTTTATTTGTTTTTTTTTTAAATTTATATATTTAATTGGGAGTATTTTTCTTTGTAGGGTTTACAACAACGCATGGTTAAGTTTAATATCAACGCACATTTACCAAGATTATATAATATTGATTTCAATTCAATGAAATATGTTTTCTTTTTTTTTTCAAATACAATTTCAAAGTGTTTTACTTTTTGCAGCTTGGCATCCGGCTTGGAATTGTTGTTTGCCGCGCCGTCTTGAAGCGTTTAGACTGCCCTTTGGCCGCCCTAAACACTGACTAAATTCTATCAATAACTAACTAAATACGTGCCTGGTGGTGCCACTTAAGTGACACACCCTCACGCCCCGCCCACACGTCCAAATGTCTGTATCCAGGTGGGCGATACTAGCTTCAAAAAATGCAATCAATATTCCAAATGCCGCTTCGCTGTCAATAGTCAATCCCAATCTTTCTTACTAAAATTAACTTTCTACTTGCTTTGCTATAAATAATGCGGCTCGCGCCGCCCGTTCGCGAGCACCTCCTGGCCACAGCCCCATCAAAATCCGGCAGCCAAGCAAAGGCAAGGCCCTTGACTCTATACTAAATACTTCTATCATAGCTCTCTTCTGCATTGAAACCGAAACTGAATCTCTATCGTTGGCGCTTCAAATTTACAAATTTCTTGTCTTCTTTTAATACTTGTTGTTGTTGTTGTTGATGTTATTCTCTGGCGGCTGGCCAGCTGCACTGCGCCCCGTGTGCTTGGCCAGCGTTTGCCCTTCCCCATCTATGGCTTCTTACGCTTGGCAAACATCTGGGACCACAATCAGAATCAGACATTTGTTGTCTTTGGCACGGCGCCAGTCTCGGCGGCTGTCTGTGACTGCTCGTCATCATCCCGCCGCTCCAAATGTACCTGCACAACATGTTGCTCCACGTTCTGCTCGTTCTCGTCCAAGTCCCTGGCCAGTGTCTCGCTGCGCTGCAGCCGGCGCTTGTGCGCGCCAGAGCTATGCTTATTCTTAACAGCTGGCACCGGCACGCGTATATTTATCTCGTCGTCTGCAGACTCGATGCAGTCCAGCTGGGAGATGTCACCAACAGCGGCTGCAGCGGCAGCAGCTGCAGCAGCTGCAGCAGCAGCAGCACTCGTCGACGGGCCATCGCCAATTGCTGGCGAGGAGGAGCCGGTGGAGCTGTTATGGCCCGAACGCCTGCCATTCTTACGGCTGATAGGTACATCATGCAGCGTTAGCCTCTCCAGGCGCAGCTCTTCCAGGGTGGCCGATGTATAGCCCGGACGCATGGTCTCATCCACATGGACCAGCACGAAGGGCAGCTTCAGCGACAGCTCACCGCCCATGCCGCTCAATGTTAGCTTTACCTTCACATAGTAGGACACGTAAATGGCAAACACGTTGCGATCATCTCCGAATGCGTTGTTGCCGCTGCTAGTGCCCAATGAGCCCGAATTGGGTGGCTGTGGCATGGCCATGGCCGGACTGGGCATTGGCTGTCCAGTGAGCAACTGGGCCGCTTGCATAACAAAGTTGGGCGATCGTATGGCCGAAGCGGCAATAGCTCCGGTTATCTCATCCGGCTCAGTGCTGCGCTGCAGCGTATCCTCCAATGCTATCCAGTTCTTGGTGGGTCCGCGCTGCGGGCGCAGCGCCACGGTGGTATTCAGAGTGCCGCCAGATGGCACTGTCCGGTCCACAGCAGGCGAGATGTTGTCCGAGTCGGCGACCACGTTCTTGAACTTGCCATTATTGAACATGCAGACATCCACATGCTGAATGGCGCAGACCTGCCAAAGATTTTCACAAAAAAATACGAAAAACAAAAATAACGAAATGTGAAGTGAATGTAGAGCAAAACAGGGTCATGGGGCCAGGCAACAAGGTCAGTGGGTTGCCCATTAAGCTGGCCATGTCAACGCATGGACGTAAGTGTTATATCAATATCAAGGACACACAAAAGTCATCGGTCAGCGGGCAAAAAATGACAACACCGAACCTGCAATACGCTAACAGACAGTCAACAGGCACTTAACAGACAATTAACAGAAGGCCAATCAGAAAACGTATTATTATATGTTTTACTATATGGCTAAGAAGTGAGATATTATCTACAGAGATACTATATAGTTTTAGATCAAGACTTTTTTGAGTCGCATCGGAGTACCCTCCTTGTTTGAAGTTGAACCAAAACTTAACCCTGATTGGGTTTATAAAGAACAACCGAAACGAGTCTGTTTAATTTCTAATATTTTAAACACAAAATATTAAATTGACAATGAAATATAAAATTAATAGACTACCAGTTTACGAACCGAATATTAAGGCTGGGCAATAAATATAGCTAACAAGCAAATTTCTATAAATTCACTTTAAGTTGAAAATAAGTCAAATTAATTTATAGCTGCAAAAGTCGGCCTATTATATAACCCATGGTTATAAGGTTTAAAATCATAATTTAAATTCGTTTGTTAACATTTGCACTTAACATGTTAATTAATTGGCTGCACCTTGATTTCAAGTCAACTTCAGTGCTGCCAGTTATAATTTGCATATCAAAATTGGCAGCACTGGTCATTTACATAAACACAACATATAAAGTAAAGAAAAGTGTTAAGATCGAATTTTTTATCATCAATTAAATTGTCAAAAACGGCAGAATCCAGGACGAAGTCAATTTTTGTATTTTTTAAGTATTTTAGAATATTTAAGATCTCAGAAGCTTTTATAGTTCCTAAGCTAACGTTATTTTGGATCTCAGTTAATAAACATTGTAAGAAAAGTCAAGAAATTCAGTTTTATTGGATGTAAGAAATGTTTTGCACGAATTGAACAGCAGAACGAACCATTATAAATCTTCTTTCTTTTGAAGACCTGATAAAAGACATTGAGCTGCAGTTGCAAATGCGACGAAGCTTATCACAAAGTCAAGTCAATAACTACGTAAGGCAGAAAAAGTTAAGGCCGTGACACATGCCCAGTGTGTGTGTGTGTGTGTGTGTGTGTGTGTGTGTGTGTGTGTGTGTGTGTGTGTGTGTGTGTGTGTGTGAATGAGTGTGTTTGTGTGTACTGGCTGAAATTATGGTAGCATTATTTGATTGCGTTACCGCGCTTACTTCAACGTTATCTATGGGCAAGCCAATCAAAAGTAATGCAGTCAATTACGTCCATAAATGTGGACACCGCTCGGCAGGGGAAACTTTGAATGGTGCACAGAGGGGAAGTGCAAGGGAAAGGGAAGCGCTGGCACCGAGGGGATAATGGGCATTGCGCTGCCTCCGAAATTGATTTGCTGTTTGTTGCTGCAGTTTGCTTGGATTTCAGTTGTAATGAGGCTTATTTTTGGTTCCCAATACACACGCAAATTGATACACGCCGATGATGCGGGCGAGTATATACCAAGAGGGGGGGAGGCTTGGCGGGGCAGCAATCGGGAGGCAAGAGGCAGCAGGCGATTTACCAAGTACTGGCCTCTGGCTATGTGGCCGAAGCGAATCGGTAAAGGCTATCAAATTTAATGAGTCTGTAATGTCTGGAAATCGTTACACCAGCGTTCAGCTGACCACAAATGTTTTCACTAATTTAACAATTGGTTATTTTATAAACTATCTCTCGGGTATTATTTTCTGTTGGTTAACATATTTTCCAATTAATAGTTTCTGCACAGCTCGATTGATAATCGAATGTTTAGTATATGCTTAAATATCAAATTAAATATTTAAACACACGAATAATGCTCGGCGTGAAGATACCCTGTGGCTAGCACAAAATACCTCTTGCAATTGACAAACAAAGTTTTACAAATCGAATCTATAAATAATGTTAATAAAAAGTTCATTATTTATGCAGAAATATTTTGGAAAATAATTGATTTTAATTCTAATTCAAAGTAAGTAGTCTAGCTTTTAAGGAAGTTCCCCTATTTTGCTCTTTACCTTCTTTACAGGGTATTCAGCGACTAAGAGAGCACTTTATCACATTTATTTGGCGACCTTTAGTGGGCGGACTCTGTCATTTCGGTTTCCAAAATTCTGCTTTTGCCCCAGTACAAAACCAAGCCGTAATTTAATCTACCCTTCTATATCAAATTATAGGTTACAAAATAATGGGCTTATTTTTACTTTTATAAATTATTTGCAAATACACTTTTAGTTATTTAATATGTTTTAATTTGCTGTTTAGCTTTTTGTTGTTTAAAAATATAACAAAAATATTGTCGAATATATTTCTATGGGGCCGCCAGAAGTGGGCGTGGCAAGAATATCAAATAAAATTGTTGCATTGAAAATA